CGGGCCGCCCGCCCGCCGCTGGGCGCCAACCTGTGTCTGCTCTTTGCAGCTTGCCTGGAAGGCGACGGCGCCGCGGAGGGGCGCGACCCAGAGGCGAGGTTCCCGTGCCCTCTTGCCATGTGGGAGCTCGGACACTGCGATCCCAAGAAATGCACCGGGAGAAAATTAGCCCGAAAGGGGTTGCTCCGAACCCTGCGCCTCCGACAGAGATTCCCGGGCCTCGTGCTTAGTCCTCTGGCTACCGAGTATGTCTCTCCAGCGGACAGGTGAGTCCCCCGTGAGACCGGCACCCGGGTGACCTCGGTGCCTGGGTGTAAAGCACGAAGGCTGTAGTGTGGTATACTAGGGAGAATATTTTAACCACCAATTCACGGCCAAAGCTGTGCTACAGAATAAATTTGACTTTTCTGTTACTTTACGTTGATGCACGAAAGTGAGAAATAGAGCCGTTTTGTTAAATCGGGTTACTGTTTTCATACAGCTGCTATCAGGCAAAAAAATAATCTGTAGATCCCAATAAGAAGTCAAAGTAGGTGCTTTACAGGTTAATTTGTTCAGAATCATGGGTCTGTAGCTACTGTATCTTTTATGATTCCATATTCGAGTTCTTCAACCAGGCAGCACGACGCATTAACCAGAAAAGTTAATTGGGGGAAACACTGAGAATTTTCTTCAAATGTGCGTGCAGAATTTTGATAAAGATGTACTTACTGAGATAAAAGATGTTTTTTTCAAAGCTAGCAGAGAACCAGTCAACATTGGTGCACCTTTAAGAATGAGACTGTTACTATTAAGTAAGACACACTATTCTGTCACATTTTTAAACCTAGAATGTTTTGCTTTGAAATGTTTGGTTAAATCTTTTTTTTTCCACGTGAGCGTTCAGAGGAAAATTGTGTTATTTTTTTCTTTCTCACTGCATCTGTATTTTATTTAAATCATTGTAAAAAGTATGCTTTTTGATTGAAAATGGAAGGGGTCGTAGGCAACTTTGTTGCCACTGTGAAGTGGCAATTGTAATTTCCACTTATTTATAAATCAGTACAATGATAAAATTGTTTCAAATATAGTGATGTTTCTGTTTTTTCAGGCATGTCATTGTTCAGAGTGGAATTGCAGTCATAGATTGCTCCTGGGCCAAATTAGAAGAAACTCCCTTTAAGAGGCTGAGAGGGAGTCACCCGCGGCTGCTGCCGTACCTGGTGGCTGCCAACCCCGTGAACTACGGGCGGCCGTGCAGGCTGTCCTGCGTGGAGGCCTTTGCTGCAGCGCTCTGCATCGCCGGTAGGCGGGGACAGCACTTAGCGAAACGCGTTACCAGCACTTCTTCATGAGTCAGAAGAGATGACCTGGGACAGAATGGACTGTAATGCTGTGCCACTGGTCATCACTTTCTTGAGCTTGGAATCAGATTGTCTAGCTTTCTTCCAAGTACTTGTATCTGGGAGCACTGAGCTATCTGTGGGGTGTTCATGTCAGCTACTAAACAGGACACATACATTGAGGATCCTGGTTTTTTCAGGATGACCCCTAATGTTAGAAAAACTGATTTAAAAAAAAAAAACAAACCACAGAGAAGACAGAGTGTGAATCCTTAGACAACTTTACCTTAATGTGAGGTAAAAGGTATCTCTTCATAAGGTGAGTTCTTGTTAAGAACAAAGGAATTTGTCCCCTCTTGTGGTGTTGCAAGCTCATCACAGAACTTTCTTGACTATTGAAGAGACATGCTGTACTGTACTGCAGACAAATCTTACCTTCTGAAAACATTTCATGTGCAGCTGCTCTCTTACTGAAGGACTATGGGAGCTACAGCTTGAATCATTCATTACCTAGCCAAAATATTCTTCTATAACACTCACTAAAAGACTGATTTTTTTTTATTGGATTCAGTTAGATATTTGAAGTTAAGCTGAAATGTGAAAATATTTTTATCTTTTAAAAAGTCTGAATCCTTGAACACTGAAAAAATGCTGGCAAACATCTCACTATTCTAGTGATACATAGGTATGTAATGAACTTAGAAGCCTGTAAACTGAGTGAAATCTCACACTGAAAAAGAAAACTGATAATTTATTTTCTGTTTTAGGATTCCCAGACCTAGCCACCATTCTTCTAAGGAAATTTAAGTGGGGTAAGGCATTTATTGACTTGAACAAAAATCTCTTGGAAAAATATGCAGCCTGTCATTGCCAGGAAGAAGTGTTGAGTGTTGAAAAGGATTTTTTAGCCAGTGTCCATGAAACAAAAGATGAAGAAATAGGTAAGAAAAGAGACACACCACAAACCTCCTTTTCCTAATTTCTGTACGATCTTTTCCTTAATGTCATTAAAATGTTGGTAGAAGATGGGAGCTTTGTTAAAGTACGTTAGTCTGTCTTTATACTGTGTATTCTTAGAAGCAAGTCTGCCTATTTTTTCCCAATTCAAAAAGATGAAAATTACTAAAGACCTTTAACACGTATCAGCTGAACAGTGAGGCAGCTACTCTGATTAAGTTAAGGATATGGGAGAACTAAGGAGTGAAAATACAAGATGATGCTTCCTCATTTTATCTACAGATGTTAAAAGCATGAGTATGAGTAAAAAGCCTAGTAATTCAGGAGGACTGTAAGAGAAATAGTCACACAGTTTAACTACATAAACCTAAGACCTTTAGTGGACATGTTTATATAATCCCTAATCAAAATGTTTAAAATCAGACCTATAAAGATAATGAAAATACCTTAAATAAGTACCATAGTTATATTCCCAGATTTTTCTGGTAACTTACTGGTATCCCAGTATTTCAGGCTACTTTTACAGGCAAGTGCTTGGTCTCATTCAAGACAGCAGAAAAAAAAAGGCAAATCAGATAATCAAGAACATATGAAGAGAACTGCTCCAAATTCATGTTTTTCTTTCACACTGGTAAAGTCCCATAAAAATAGGTAAGGGAATCATACTGTAGGGAGGTGGTAGACAGCTTTAGGCTCTCTGAACTTTGATCTCTTCACCCTGCCATGCTAGGCTGAATGAGATCAGCCTGCTCTTTGGTGGAAGCCTAACTACAGTTATACTAAACTGAAGACAGTTCTTAAGGGGCAGCACTACCATGCCAAGTAAAAGCATACTTGCACCCCCTGCGCTGTGTATTTTCTGGCTGGGCAATAGTACCAAAGCTATCATGCCTTGTTTCACTTTTCTGAGGTAACAGTTCTCCCCAGCTGTATAAGCCAAAGTAACTCTAGCCCTAGACTTAAAGCAGTAAGCGCTAAACCTGGACAACTATACCTCACTTCTCAGTGGACATGCACTAGATACATCTTTTAGAACAAAGCCATTCTGAAAACATCCATGTTTTCTTGCCAAAAGCCTTAGAAACCTCAGTCTGGCTACACCTAAAGAGCTACTGAACCCCTGGGGGGGGCAGGCCTTGAAGTACATGGAAGAGTGCTAAAAGTCCTGCCCCCCTATTCTAGTCTTTTCAGTTAATTTGCATCTCCCCTGGCTTCTGACCAAACAGCTATGTTAAACTTAGCAGAAAGCTGAACCAGGTTTCTTGTGCCTTCCCCCCACAGCCAATAATCTTATCTTAAAATGAAAACTAAGGCAGACCGTTAAATAAACCTTCATCAGTGTATGCATTTTTTTTTTTTTCTCCTCCTTTTTCCAGATCCATTTGACACTGACTCAGGAAAAGAATTTTGTAATCCCAACAGACCAATCAATTCCCCAGGGTAATGAAATTTCATTTAATTACTGTTTTTGTATTATAAGATGTTTTGCTTTTCTAATCTGAAAAATATGTTTCCAGATTAGCACAAAGTGATGAAGAATCTGAGGATGGCATAAGCACTCCAGATCGTGCTACTGAAAGCAGTGATGAGAGCAGTCCAGAAGATCACGGTATATAAAGTTGCTGCAACAATGGCCAATGTCAACTATTTGAAAAAAACAAACAACAAAAAAAAGCCCAAACACAAACCCACAATGCACCACCAAAAAAACCAAACCACCAACAAACAAATATTCTCACCGCCCCCAACAATCCCTAAGAGTTGTATCATCTTGTATAAATTTTCTTGTGAACAGTTGTGTGGTTTGTTCAACTGTAACTTACTGCTTAGCAACTGCCTTCCTCTGGGTGAACCTCAGGCAATACGTGGATATATAGGTTCACATAAAGGCTTTAGGTTTTTAATATTTCAATAATTCTTAGCATTCCATAAACAATTATGTAAAGAGCCTGAAGCTTAGTTACAAGTTTAAAAAACACACCCCTCTTCCAATTAATCTATCTGGAAAATGGTTTATAGGGATTGCTTTTACCCAATGGTACATTAAGGAAACCCTTCTAGCTTCTGGTCTATATTTCAACTGTTCAGAGTATCTATTCCATAAAAAGCCTCTTTTTGCAGCTTGAACCTGCCATATGTATTTCAACTACTTAATCTCATGTAGTGCAAGCCAACTACCTAAGTTTAAAGGGGAGAAGGTTCCTGGCATTGTTTTAGCATCTCAGTACATCTTCAGTAACTTTACAAGTGTGGAGGTTTTTTATTTACTCTGATAGACAGTTCTAAGGAACATACAGTGTTTTGGCACTTTATATTCAGAAATGTACAGTAAAATTTCAGATAACAGGTCCAGCAATGCTCTCTGCCAGCATTCTCCTTACCTCAAGTCAGAACTGTACATTGACTAGCCCTTAAAGACGTGGGTCAGAGACTCACAAGCACTAGCATTAGCTCACTCTTCCATATGCCTGCCAGTTTGTATGGTAGAAATGCAGCTGTTGCTTTCTGTTCATTTAACTAGAATGCTCTTTTGAGTTTCCAGCACCCAGCTGGAACTTACTAAAACCTAAACTTCATCAACCACTCATCAGAATTGGAGTTACTGAGGACAATTCATAGCATTATCCTCAAATATACAAATACTTCAAGTTACAGCAAGACCGTCACCTCTCAACCCTCTTCTAGAGACTAAATGCTAGTCCTACTGGAGATAGAAGTGGGAGTCACTGCAACAGTATTACTGGTATAAATACTCCATTTCTCTTTAAAAAGAAAAAAAAAGAAGCCAAATAAACTAATTTGACCAGAAATCTTTAACTTAGTTTTGAGATTACTCACTGTTCCACCAAACATATGAAGCTTTTCCCAAATCAGCTGTTGTCACAAGGATTGCTTCCTTGTCACTATCTACAAATCATAAACAATCTTTAAAGGACTGGATAATGTGAGGGTGTTGGCTGTTCTAAATTGGGGGAAATGCCTTTGTTACAAAGCTAGCGTAATCAAATGCAGACAAGCAGACAGGTCTGAGAACAGAGCTGTACCACACTTAGAATAACTTAAGTATCTAGCAGTAGCCATTTCTTAATAACAAAAGCACTGAAAAAGCTACAGCTCAGATGTAAGAAAGCTTTTCCCATTTCATTTGTTTTGTAGAATGATTTTGACTAAAAAATACAATAAAACAGTGAAAGTTTAATAGAGGGCATTATCATACAGGAATATAACTTACACAACTTAAGTGATTTCCTTTACAGAAGGAAACTAATTGCATAGAGCACGTCCTTTTCCTAAAAGCTACATACATTGGCATGTGGAAGAAGGCACAGAAGTATTTCTGATAAACAAGTTCCACTTCAAATCCCCAGTTGCTGTAGGTCCCTTCGCATTCCTCAGACAGCTTCTACTATGGTTTCTATCAGTCTAACGCTCATGTTACTTTATGTTACGTGGTCACGCCAGTACTGTGACATCATTACGCACAGTAAGCAATTGCTCTCTGGCTAGTCAGAATTCCACAAGCTGTAAGCTTTGAACTGGCCAAAGTTGAGTCACTGCAACTATACTCAGGGCTCAAAGAAGGGCCACATTCATTTTGGGGGCAGGGTCAGAAAAGAGATAAAGGCAACATCTAAACAACAGGTAAATGCAGCATCACAGGCCTTAAAAACAGGACTTGCACTGAATTGTGTTCAAAGCCACTTCAATGGCAATCTTTTAATTATTTTAATGAAGATAAGTGAAACAAAGCCCTTTATATAAACAGTTTATTCACTCTAAACAGCAACACAGACAGAACGCCATATAAACACAAAGGAAGTGATGCAGAATAAGGATGCTGGCTGACTTTGGATCTCAGAGGCTTTAAGCAGTAACAACCTACTTTCTGAAAGATAGAAAAACAAATTCAGGGGGGAAGGGGGTCAAGGGCATGATGTTTTTTCATACAGCCAGCTAAAGGCTAAATATAGTTCTAACATTTTAAAGCATGCCTGCATCAGAGAGCAAAGTAACTAGAGATACTAGTGAATTTATAGAAGTATAAAAGTTTATAATTTTACAGCAGTTGAAATACTGACATCAATATTAAAATAAAAGCAAGTTTTACATAACAATCAAAAATACAAAAGACTGAAGGAAGAGACCCTGTATGAAAAAACTGGGGGCAATTCAGCAAATTTAGAACTGTATACAAGTGGCGAATATGGAAAATGGCACACATACAACCCCCTCCCCTAAGTGGATATTAATTGTACATAGCAACATTAGATTTTGCAAAAGTTTTGTAAACAAGTTCTTGCCAAACCAATCCCTTCCTTTTTAAGATGCTGCATGACAGATGCTTATGATGGTGCAAACTTCTTGGCTTGTGCTCGAACCCTCTTTTCGTATTCCACTCTGTTTTGGCTGAATGGAAGAGAAAGAAAGAGTAATTACAGCTTGAGAAATCAGAGGCCAGATTATATCGTTCTATTCCTCTTCAATATGAAACTAAGTCATTGCTGAAGGCAAAACCATTAATTGGGCATCAACTGAACGCTACAATATATTAGAGGCTTTTCTGGACCACTGCTCTGATAATTTCCTTTGCAGGGAAGTAAGGTACTGTTTAACCAATTATTTCCCAAGCTTCATCTGTTGTCAAGTACTATATGACTTCCTACCTTGCCAGTATCTGTAAACAGGTTTGTGCCTGCTCTTTATCAAGGCCAGCTGTAGCATACATGCAAGCATTCTTATTCAGCTGAGCTTCAGGTCTTCCACTCACCACATTAAGACCTGAGGTCATGAACAATAAATTCCAGTATTCTAAGAGCACAAAATGGTTGATAAAAGCAGTTCACTAACAGCTACTGGACTTTGTATGATTTTAAAGCATCAACTTTACTGCTCTGAGGAGGAAGGGGTAATGCTCTAAGAAACAGGAAAGTGGGAACAGTATAGTAGTATCACCCTTTATCTCTGCAGACCTTGGCACATTACGTTTATCCTAACCTTCAGTTGAAAAAAACCTAGCTAAACATTTGGGGGGGGATAAGCCCACCACTATTGTTCACCAAATCTAGCATAGTACAAAATTGATTAACCAAGCAAGTACTACTTCAGGGAACTATGGCCAGTCATTAAGCCTCAGACTCAATACATAAAAGGGCAAATTCTTTGTTTTCTATTCTTGTGCCAAGAAGGGATGGTAGCAGCTTAGTAGAGCATCCATTTACATTGAACATCATATTTTGTACTGGCTGTCAGAAGTGTCAGTCAAGAGCTAAACAAATTTGTTACTATTACTTTTGTGCCAAAGGTACTTTACAGTGACTAAATTTTGCAGACAGCGTTGCAGTAAACTTAGTCTATTTTCAGCTATGAAGGCTTGCTGCAGTAAAAATCCAAAGAGGCAGCAAATTATATCCTCAGAAGCTGACAGTTTTGGGGGAAGAAATGAAGCCCAGTCTGGTCATATCCAATGAACGATTACCAGTAAACAGACTGAAACTACTCTAGTTTCTTCTCATAAACAAATTTATAAACTTTATTCTAAAATTTTTCTTTGTTATATTGCATTTTCACATGAGAACACAGCACAGCCGTCAAGTCTCAACACCCTCAGAATCCATACAAACGAATGCCTGCTGTAGAAGACTTGGAATGCATACAGCAGAGGAGGAAGTACATCAGCACATGAGGAGTGCCACAGAGACTGTAGCAAAGCCATTAAGAATTCTTGTTCTGAATGCAAAGTTTATCTTGAGGTTTAACAACTTGACTAAAAGACAAGTATTTACCTGCATCTTCCCCAGGATTTATCAATATGCAAAACTGCAGACGCATACACAAACCTGCTCTGTTGAGATTCTTCTACCAGTTACTCATCAAGCAGTAAGAGAGAGACACTCTCAGACTACAGAAATATAGTAACCCATCTGAAAGAATATGCATGTCCAAAAGACATGAGGAGGATAAACAGGAGACTATATCTATCTGAAGTAACAAAAGCTGTGTAATAGTTTATTCTCAACACATTTTTTTTCTAGAAACAATACAGTAGAAACAGACTAGCTAAGACTGGTTTTGTACATACATGCATGTGGGAGGTGATAAAACATACAGACTACTTCTACATGTATAAAAGTGTATTACTGCTGCTCCATATTCCCTCAGTAGTTTTTTTGAGTTTTAAAAGAAAAAAGAAGAGAAGTGGAGAGGCCTGCCTCATCATTACTGGCTCCCAAAGGTGCTGCCTACAACTGTGGCCACCTAACTGTCCTCCATATGTACTGGGTCTCATCGAGTTTTCAGTAGATACTTAAAAAATAACACTGAGCTTTAACCCAAAGTCTTTAACCCAAGATGCACTACTCATCCCTAAGTTTCCTTTTCACTAAGATCCCATAACAAATGTTTCTGACATAGCTTGCATGTGAAGTCTCATAAAATGCCATTTTTCAAACTTGGCACTCTCCTGGAGACTTATTCTGTCCAGAATGGTGGTTCCACATTTCCATCTTTAGTTATTTCAGTAGCTGTCAGTGCCAAAAGCATTTGTTTAGACTATTTTGCTCCCCTAAAGATTACAGATCAACCATCTATTTTTAATGGCTGTAAAATTTTAAGATAAAGCCAAAAAATCCCACCACCAAACACATACCACAGCACCAGAAAAAAAAAAACAAACAAACAAAACCTTTTTAGCTCACAAATTACCACCTTTCTTAACCAACACAAACTTCGTTCTGCTAAAGCTACCAGCTTTCTGCATCTTTTAACCAATTATTTTATAGGGTCTAGATTTCACCAAACACTGTATTTCCTACAGCAATCACAGTTCTCCTTTATCTTACAGGCACAAATGCTTATATGTACCCACTACCAGGCAGAAGTTAGTCTATATTGATGAAGGGGACTTGTTACCTGTCTCAGTCTCCTCTTACCACTGGTCTCATGAATTCATTATGCCCCATCACTACTGTTCAGCCTTTAGGGGAAATAATTCTCTATTAGGCTAGAACGAGAATTAGAATCACTGTTTAACTGAAGGAGTGTTCACACTTCATTGCTGTCGTGAGTCTGTTAAAAGCTCCACTACTCTATTAACTGTGAAGTTAGTTTTGTTCAAGTTTAGTGCAACTAGGCATCTTCACAGGACAGAGCCATGAAATAGGAAAATTCCCTTGATAATTCCTGAAAATGTGTGTGTTAAAGTATAAGTAACAAACAGCTGTAGATAACACAACAGCTTTCAAGCTGATAACACAAAGCTAGTTACCAGTAAATTGTGTAAGCCTCTGCTTGAGCTGGGTCTTGAATATTTGGTTCATTTAGAAGTTCTTGTATTCCTAACAAGATCTGTGGAAGAAGGAATAGAGTATTACTAAGAGACATTCAATTAAAAAAACCCTTAGAAACCAACTGCAGAAATACAGAGCGGACATCTTACATTCACATTAGATAAACAAGAAAAGCAAATAAAAGGGCTAAAATTATGTCTAAGTACAATTAATGACCTGTTTAATTGTGATTGCTGGCCTCCAGTCCTTATCCTCCTCTAAGATGGAGAGACACACTGTGCCTGAAGGATACACGTTTGGGTGGAATAATGGTGGTTCAAATTTACCTGATGAAGAAGAAAGAATTACTTGCATGCAGTACAAAGACTAAGATCAGAGAATTGGTTTAGATAACAGGAAATAAATAGCCAAAGACTCTCCCACCACCACTCCCCCCCCAAAAAACTGCACAGGTATTTCTGGAGCTACTAATACTAGTTTTCTTCTTGGCTCAGCCTGCACCTAAAGCAGGAACTCCATCACATCTGTGGTATCAATCCAGGCAATGTAACACTATCATTGTGACCAGTAACCTTCATGGGTTAGGAATGTCAACTGACAAAACAGTTTGTAGCACCTTTGTGATAAAGACTTTTTAAAACCAATCCTGTCTCTGCAGCCTCACAGACTAATAAAGGAAAGATACTGCCCCTCACTCATCACTTCTCTCCTCACTTTAAAACACTGAGAGTTCCATACAAAGGTTACTGAGTTTCTACCATTTTTCCAGTTTCACTTTTCCTTGATACATGACCAAGATGCACTGAATGATAGGAACCAAGTTTAAGTTGCAAGACCGATTAAAGGATCAGGCTTTTATAGCTCTCCTTCTGCCACTCCATCTATATTCTGACATTCCTTTAACCTTTACAGGACTTAAATGCAACAGCCACCATCTCGAGTAACATAATAAGCATCTGTTTACCAATATATGAAGTATCTACATGTTAGTGGAGTTTTCTAATTGATCTGACATCACAAGTCTTACCAGTCACATGTACACCCCAAGGTCTTGACAGTTCATTTCATACTTGCAGGATGTACGTTAGTTATTTCAAGATATTAATGTTATGTATTTTCTAGTTAAAAGTATTCCCCCCTTCCCCCCTTGTCACATGTATTTGAGTAGTAACAAACAAAAGGAGTAGCAAAGACAAGCTGAAACTCTAAGATGAAATGAGAAATAAACTGCTGCTAAGAGAGCCATTTGTTATCACTGTCACTGACTGCAGACAGTAGGCAGTTCTAGAACCAAGAAACTAGGCAAGGCACTAGACGTTCTCAGATTTCTAAAGTAGGAAAGTTTGAGATGGAATTCAGGAAAATTCAAAAACTTTACAAGGAAACTGGTATCTGAATGTATCTGTTGTACATAGTATCAGAAAAACAGCAGATCCATGTCTTTGAGCAAGTTGAAGAAAAGGTTAAAGTCAATGCAACTTTCTTTTTAATTATTTTTTCCGAGTTCTTGGCTTAGAAGATCCACTTAACAGTAAGAGCATGTGAAGGGATTTGGTCTAACTATGCCTACCTGTTAGTTTCCAAGGAGCGTTGATCAAATTGTGAATGCTTCATGTGATACTTTTGTCAAACGTTAAAGAAATCCACACATCAATCCTCCTCCCCTCCCAATTATGTTATACTAAGCAATTAAGTCATTTCATCACAACCTTCTAAATGTAAAGTAGTGGGTGGGGGAAAAAAGAAATCAACTGTCCTTTAAAAAAAATAAACTGTAAAACGAAGAAAATAATAACTATTCATAGAACCTCAGAATAGTTTGATGTTGCTCTAATTAACCCATGGTTTTTAGTACTTTTACTTACATTTTGGGGGTGAAGAAGGGTAGTCATCCTTGAAAAGCATCCGTAGTTTAAATAAGCCTCCTTCCCATGGCGTCTATGGAAAGTTAGAGTACAGTTTAGATTACAGCATGGAAAAGTCAGACTTGTGGAAAAAATCTTATCAAAAATACAGCTCCTCAGGCAAAGCACAAGACATCCTTCTTCTACAGAGTACAAAATACCTGCCCTAAACTATAGCATGCTGTCTAGACTGAGATAAATTATCCTACCTGTATACAGAGCTGAAGAAAGAAAACATTGACAGTTGGGATCACCACCCATAATTACATATACGAGTAAAATTCTCACAGCACATAGAAGAACAGAATAATACTTAAGTTTTACAGGATACACACACAATTCGGAAGAAGCTGTTATACCTTCATTTAAAAAAATGTCTGAGAAGAGAGGATATAGGTAACCCCTTAAGTATGTGCACGTAAATGGCTTCTCTTTTGCCTCATAAGAACGTGTCTAGAAAAACTACAAACAAAAAAGTCTGGACAGCACTGATAGTCCTGCTACAGTTAATGAGGTCCACTCGTCTAAACTAACCCTGTCTGCACCGGGCAGCAAGTAGGTCTCAGAGATTCCATCTTTTTGTGTAAGAGAAACTCTGAGAAGCTTTTTCTCCCCATCAGAAATTGAGAAGAGCACTGATAAAAGCAGCTCTTGTGTACAGAGCAGACAAAATAAGACAGCACTACTCTCAAGGGTCATATAAACACAGAAAAACACCTAGCAAAAGACAAAAAGCCTACCTCAAATATACTTCCCTGTCATCTTACTTGGAAATAGGAAAAAAAAAAAAGCCTATTTCTGACAAAGTGACTTCTGGTAAGAAGTATAGAAATACAGAGAAGTTTATTATATATGTAAAATTCAGGCCACTTCTCTGTAACTTGCTCTCACTATGGAAACATTGCAATGCAAGTTAAGTGTTGGGCTCATTCTTTGAAACTGGAGTAAAGACAATCTTATGTCTTGTCAGCACAAATGATCAAATCTTATCCTCAGGGACAGACCAGTATGCTTGAAGACCACCTTGCAAAGCAACCCCTAATTCTTTCCTACATTGTGATTTTTAGCTGAAGAAAAAAAAAAAAAAAAATCAAAAAAGAAAAACACACCACAGCCAAAGCCACCTACAAAACCACCCCCACCCCCCCAGACAAAAAGGAAAAAGGAAAAAGCACTCTGTCACTGATATTTATTGTGTAAAAATCTCAAGCTAGAATAGGAATAAAAACATGCTATGGAATACCAAGATAACCGTGTTTTAAAAAGCAAATTACTTCAATGATATTTGCTATAGCGTATTTAAAGAATTTGTTCTGAATAGCTGTAGTCAGCTGTCAGCCACCAGAAATATCTACCCTGCATACCTTCTCAGAGGAGAAAAGCTTGTCCATTTTTAGGAGAGTGAAGCATTTTAATCAAATTAACTTCTCCTATTTTGTTTTGATTTCAGTCATAGGGGAAGACAAATAGATTTTAGTAATTTCTTCAAGCTGAACACCAAAACAGTCAATGAAAAGTTTTTACTGTCCTTCTGATAAAGCAACATACCTTCTGGATGAAAGCTAGCAGACACTCAAAAGCTGTACTAAGGTATTAGTATGACAGCAGTATCATTAGGACCATATATTACTGGATACCTTGCAGATGTTCTTCGAGTCAAGATCTAGGTAGTTAACAAGTGATTTGCTGCCAAAGAAGTGAATGCAGATCTCCATCCCGGAACTACCACCACTCTACTCCAGCTTTCCATCTGGGTGACAAGGAAGTACTTTGGTGGTTTCAAACACTCATCTGCCTCAGGGGAAGTGGCTGGGGTACAGCATGCTTCCAAATACAATGGCTACAGAGAGCAACTAGTGGCTTCTTGTTAAAGAGATGGAATTTTTACTCAAGTAAATCCCTTGTTTTTTAAAAAATAAATCTCTACCAGGAATCACATAAGCATAACCAAACTTTCTGTGGCGTGATGTGTTTTCTGAGAGGCAAGAAGGTGGCTTCAACGGTCTTGTTCGCTCCATTTTATGGTTTACAAAACTTTAAAGCAGTAACATGAGAATTTCACATTAGCATTTACAGGTAACATCTTGATAAGGTACTTAACTGGCTATTACGAGTGACAATCTAGTTTTGGCAGAATACAGGAGGATGAGTTCTTCCTTACAGTTAAATTATTTTTAGGTACTTCTTTAAGAACTAACTTGAGCTGTGCAGATACCTACCAGAGTACTGAGCCTAGTTATAACCACTGCAGCAATGCCACATTCAGCACTAAACTGAAGTAGCAGTACAGAACCTGCAAGTTTTGCCAACATGCTTTGCCTTCTCAGAACCTGACAAATAAGATCTTAAGGGGACTGAAGAGGCACAGCAAAAGGAGGCCTACAGCCAATGTAAAACACTAAAGATAAAAAAAAAAAAAAAAATTATTTACTTGGTGGTTTTGATTAATTCAGAAGAAACAACTGCATCCAATGAATTTCAAGAGTAATCTCCACATGCTATGTAACATCTTGAAAAATAGAAGCAAGATTCTACACAAGATTAGATGTTAAAATGGCAGTATACAAAATCAAGGAATTTTTATGCATTAATAATTATTTCCTCCTGAAAATTTGCATTTGCCTCATCCCCTAGAATCAGACCAAGCTGATAGAAGTAAACAATTCTGGTCTCTACCAACTTTTTTCTTTCCCTTGTTTTATTTTAAGGAAAAGGATGCAAAAACACAAGTGAAAACAGATAGAAACATTAGAGAGTTCTATTTTTCTTTTCCTCATACAAAATAGAAAAATCCATTAGTAGGCAATGAAATTTCACCTTGATAATGTAGAATTACTTTTCATGAAATCCAAAAAGCTAAACACAGTGCTACAGCATTTCTGTAGGACTGAAAGGTCTTACTGTTTTGTGAAAAAAAAAGGTACAGGCAGTTAACCAGCAGAGGCAACATTTTGGTAGCATTACTTGTCAAGATTTAGGGCTTAAACCAGCACTTAGAAACAACAGATGTCAAAACAAACCCTGGCACAAGGCAGAAAACAATCTCAAGTTTGCTCAGTGCAGGATTCTTACATAATCATCTGAAAATGTTTATTCTTAAGGTGGTCAGTGACAACAGTTGAACAAGCTTATGGTGTATTTTGTCCAATAACATTCTTAGCCCACTTCACCTGCATTCTGAAGTAGCAGCAGGATCCAAACATTCCTATTAAGCTACGTGTAAGTTATACTCTCATTTGTCAACATAACAATAAGCAGGCTTATGTTACTTTTCGCCATAAGTGAGGTGTTAGGACAACAGCAAGTCTTACCCCTTTCTTTCCTGGAATAGCACACTCCCAGTTCATTAGATTCATTGTGCCATCTGGGTTTTTTGTAGGTACTGCTACAAATCCCTGAATTAAGGCAAAAAGACAAAAAATGAGGATTTCAGAAAATATACTTATAATATTTCATTATTTACTTTATCTTTACAGTAAATTAAAATAGTTACCAGAACACCAAAATAACTGCAGTCAGAAATTTGACAGTTCTCATACTTACAAATGGATGATCTTTTCTCCAGGCTTTCCTCTCCTGTGCAAGTCTGCTAAGAGCTATGCCAGACATATTCAGAGTACCTCTAAAACAAACAAACAAAAAAATTGCTTTTAGTATAACTTTTTGCTTATAGTATAAACAACACATTACATTACCAGTTTATAAGCCCCGTTCACTCAGGAAATATTTTGGCCTCTGATTTCCACTACTACAGCCAAGACACACATTTTTGGGACACCCTGCAGAAGTTAATATCAAAAATAACATCAAGTTTCCTCATATGAGTAACCTCTTAGTTACTGGACTTTATCTACAAAATACTACCGTCATCTTGTGTTTCATGTTTCAACCACATCTTAGAAACTACTCTGACAGCACCTGGACAAAAGAAATACTACTAGTAATAGGAAAAGTGCTCAGACTTCCTACTGGTGCGATTCATAAACAGGTATCTGTCTCCTCACTACACCACAAAAGGTATGGCTTTCTTCTACAGGCAAACATCTGTATTGCTCCTGTTTCTGGCAAAAGAAACACACAGAACACAGGTCACTGCCACAAATGACACAAAAGCAGTTCCAGACATGATGTTTCCAATGGAGTGGTGCTTTAAAATTCAGGGGAGGATTATCCATTTACCCACAACAGTTGTCAAGCGACTTTATTTTTCACTGTCAAACTGCATCTAAACTCAGGGTTTCACTAGCTACATGAGCAAAACAAACTCCAGTAAAGGTTTTTAAATCCTCCTCCCTACTGCACTTCTATCCATTTTAAATAAGAGCTGACACTTGGCAATTGGAGAAGTCAGATCAATTCATTCTCTGCTCCACACGTAGCTAACAAACCTTTGTGACAGCCAGAAGAGTAGAATTCTTTCACTGAACAATCTCACAGAAGTAATGAAAGGAGTGATAACACACTGTCAAAACAAACATTTAAACACTGGGTAAGAATTACACAACATTCAAATGCTATTAGTATGTAGATTATTTGTAAGAGTATTGCAGTCTGCTATCATAACCTTATGAGTTGCAGCTCATAAAGATGCTTGTTTTAAAAAACTCACATGTTCAAGCTTTGCCCTTTAGCATGCTGTCCATGCTGAAAAGATTTACCAGGCACTGAGCTATTCCATGTAAGAGATGTGTAGATGTTCATCTCATGTTCACCTGCTATACCCTTTGAAGATTAGAAGGCACAATGCTTCCAATTTAAGTATTTACACAACATCAAGAGTGGCTTAACAGCGCAGACACCTTAAATAAAAGTCTATCAAAGCACCATATTAAGAAGTCTTATGCAGTTCCTAGGACAGCTGGTATTTCAAATCCCTCCTCCTAGTTTTTTTCCAAGTCAGTTCTGCATGGACAGCCACAATCTCTAACTTCAGCCTAGCAACTAAATTCACATCAGATAAAGCTTTTTAAAAGATACTATTAACACTGAGTAAACCTGTACTCACAAAAAAAAATACCTATATTCAGTCCAATATTCTTGTAGTAATCCAAACACATGCATCTGTATCTTGGTTATGTCACAAGATTTGCAGGCCTTGGACAACACAAACTGTCCCTACCACTTCAGATTTTAGTCTGCTCACACACAGTAGTACATGTGGAGCCACTGAAAAGATACCTTCAGAACAAAGAGGCTCTCCCTGAACCAGACTATACAGGGAGTAACTTTAAAATATTACAGGATGATTTCAGACACATGAATTGTATTTCTTGTGACTAATAGCCAATTAATTGCATATGCATACACCCCAAGGGACACGCCAACTTCTCAGAGGGCATATAAACAACATACGTCCTACAGAACATCACCAATCAAGTAACTTCTCAACAGAAAAAAACAAGCAAGCTTTTAGGCTCTGTATTCTGCTTGCTTTTGCAGCCAGTTACGCACTATACCGTGCCCTAGTAAACATTTTATGTTCTATAAATACGTTTTCAAATCTTAACGCATTTGACTTAGTTAAGCAATGACAGACTACATCCAAAATTTCGGTGTGTACAAGAGACTACAGACTTCATGTGTTTGGTCTCCGTAGGCTTCAGCTACCCTGACAAGGGCAGACAAGCATCTAAAACCTCATCACAAACTACTACCAAGTAGAGATTAGAGACTAAGAAGACTGAAAGCTCTTCAAAAATTAAGATCCCACTAGGTAAGCATGCCATCAATCTATCAAAAAATTGTCTATATATATATATATACACTCGCTAGCAGCTCTTCAGTACATGAAGTGAACTATAGCTCTTATGGAGCTCGAGACAGAGGTCCATCACCTCAGCATCTATTGTGGTCTCAAAAATTGTGAAGTAGCAGGAAGGAGTGATACTAAGTGGGTATTAAACTTGAAGATACGATGTTCTCAGGACTCATTTTATCTTCTTCACTAATTCAGGCACATGGTTTGTTTTGTTGCTCCCTTCTCCTTTTAAACAGTAGTTTGCCTAACACACCTATATGTCAAGTTTATCTCTTGTAAGCTTTTAGAATACCTTGGATATTCAAAATATCTTTAATAACCTGAAAGAGTTAAAATTTATAAAAAAAGAAAACCACAAACACCCCACTTCCAAGGTTGTTGGGTTTTTTTTAATATGATGTCCAATTTGTTTTCTTCACCTGAGAAATTTACTGCTAATGAACAGAACTGAAGTCCCAACAGAATTATGTGTTACATCACTAGAAGAAACAAACTCTTGCACCAGAGGAAGTATATCCACCCTACATTGCAGGGGTCACACAACCTGAGAAACCAATCCTTACATTTTCTTGGGTTTTAATCCCCCCAACATACCCCAGCATGAAGATGTAGCAACGTCCCTTTTACTGCCAGCAACTCATTAGAAAATAAACAGAAACTGCTAAACTTAGTAGCTTGCCTCTGCTTCTGTTAAGAAACCAAAACAACACACTCAAAGGTGCAAACTTTGTGTCCCATTAGAGAACATCTTACCCGTCTATAACCTTTGATGGGGGGAGGGAACTTACTTAGAAATGCAGAAGGAACAGCGATCACACCCACAGTTCTGGCCCATGACAAGTCTCTAAAAGCATCAACATCTCTTTAAGTCTCAAGATCTACCAGTAGCACTTACTAACTCAAAACAACAACACCAACAAAATCATTACAATTGCTATGCTCACATTTTTACTCCGCAGATTAAATATTGACATAGAAAGCATCAGTTGGAGTAGTCTGTCCCAAAACTATCCACACTTCTCAGCAAGATGAGAGAAAACCAACGGCTGAGTTTTAATCAAAGCACGCCAACTCTGGACTGGAAGAGAAAGCGTCCTCCTCCCTGCGGCATGAAAAAGGTGGAAGAGGCGGTACTAGCCGAACGGCCACCAGAATCGCCAGGAGAACAACAAAAGGAGCCGCGCGGCAATCGGTCTCGGCGCCCGACCGGCCAAGCAACTTCGCCCGGAGCAGCCGCGCAGCGCCGAA